TCCCTACCTGGGATGCCTTGTCAGGCCCCAGTGGGAGAGAATGCACTTAGTCCTGCTGTGACCTGAGGTGCCTGGGTGGGTTGATACCCCTTGGGGCCTCCTGTTCTCTGAGAAAAAATAGAGGGGAGGTATGGGGAAAAGGGGTGTGGGTACAGGACTGGGATGAGAGGAGGGGGCTGAAATCAGGCTGTAAAGAAATTAATTTAATTAAATTTAAAAAGACCAGATATGGGGGGTGGGATGGGAAAGAAGTTAGGCTAAAATAAAAACATTCTTCACACATATGCACAAAGAACAATTTTCTTAATAGGTGAGCCATCCCTCTAGCCACAATTACAGATTTTTAAAGTATATCCTGTGATGTTCCCCCTTTCCTAATTTTATTAATTTGATCTTTGACTTTTGGTTAATCTGGCTAAGGATTGTCAAAAAAACAATTCTTCCCTTTGTTGATACTTTGTACTATATATATATATATTTTTTGTTTGTTTGTTTGTTTGTTTGTTTCTATTCCATCAATTTAAGCCCTAAATTTATTTCTTGCCATCTACTCTTTGGGGGTATGGGTTTTTATTGTTGTTGTTCTAGAACTTTCAGTTGTATTAAGTTACTAATGGGGGTCTCTCCAGCTTCTGAAGTAGACAGTACTATAAACTTGGCTTTTAGAACTGCTTTCATTGTGCCTACAGGCATGGGTACGTTCTGTTTTCATTTTCACTCAATTACAAAATGCTGGTAGGTAGCTAGCTAGAAATTAACAGGATATAAAGACAACAAAGATGGATTCCCTCCCTCATACTGAGCGCTGGGCCCTACTACCTTTGTCACTAATAACACAATAATTTTACAACTGAAAAAGAGGGATGGATAAAAGCACTCTCTGAATCTAAAATACTATGTAAAAAGGAGAAAGCATCACAAATCCATCTCCTGAAGATTTGAAATATAAGTGATCTGATCAAGGAAATGTGAAAATGAGGTGGGTTCTATTGGATAGGGGAAAGATAAAATACAGGAGGGTAAAGTCACAGTAATGATGTCTAAGTCATACAAAATCATAACTATTAACTACTTACCATTCCCCAAAAAACCCTTATATGTAAGCCTGTGCATAAATATACATATATAATTTAAATAAAAATTTCTCATCTGGGCTGACAGTGCTCCCTCCAAGAGCCAAAGATCATCTAACAAATAACCCAATACCAGACATAAGAAGCCCTCTTTTGACTGGTTGATCAGGATTGTCCAAGAAACTCTCCCAAAATTAAAGACTACTGCTACTTACCTTGGTTGCCCCCAAAGGGTGAAAAGTAATTCTATATTGCTGAAGACATGATACAACCCAGGCACAGGGTTCAGAGGCCAAAGCTGGAACTGACATGCATGCCTCCTTTCTGTAGACTTTCATGGTACCAGAAGGTGCCATGTAAGCTTTCAAAGAAAGCAAGCAGCCAACAGCCTTACCTCGCCATGATACTTAATAACTGCAAAAAACAGCATGACACTCAGAGGCTGAAGCAGTGGCATATATATGTGAATAGCAACTAACGGCTCTCCAGTGGACTTGAGATCCACTCTGCGAGAGGAAATCATGCCTGGTCCTGGAAACCTAGCTAGAGATAGTGAAGTCATGGATCTTCAAGTAGTCAGGTAGTCTATTAACTACTTCGCTAAACCAGCATAATCCCTAACAACACTCTAATTGTGCTTATAACCATAAATACATGTAAATCCTCATTCCCAATAAAAGAAACTTCTCTTTCTAACAGAGATCATTAAAGAAAATTACAACTTATCAAAATGCAAAGTTGAGTAGCCCAGTCCTAATGGGGAATATCTATAAAGTAACTCCCATATCTAAGGCTCATGAAGTACTGTGGAGGAGAGGGCACCAACATTGTAAAACCAAAAGAGCAGGGAGTTTGCTGTGAGACTGTGTCTCCTAACCATGTCAGAAGTTACACCTGTAAAGTCTCACCAACATGACAACCTAAACATGAGCTGAACAACGGCAACAAAAATAAACACACAAAAGTTGATGGAATGTCCAGTAGGCATTATATAGTTGTAGGTTAATCTAAATAGGACTATCATGTCAACTAGCTAATATTCTTAAGAAAAAAGTGCACCCCAGACAATATAAAGCCTACCTCAACATTAAGTCAGCACAATTCCCTTTCCATTGTCCACTCAATCTGTTTTTCCTGTGTAATGTTCCCTTTGTCCACTGTCTGCTCTCATCTCTTACTACTCTGTAGTACTCTACACTTACCCATGTATCTTGTTTGAATTTATTCAGTAGAGAACAAGAACCAGAAAGCTCATTCATGTTCTCTATAGTAAAATGATCCATGATAACCATGGATTCTGAATAAAAAATTTTATTGGCAAACCAGAGTAAAAGTATGAACACATGTATATATACATATATATACACACATATCGCTATATATATATCCATTACTTGGAACATCCAGAAGTTGACTGGAGAAGCCCTGTGGTGGCAGTCATCTCATGTTTTGGATGGACCACAGTGTTCTCAACTTCCAAGTAAGAATGAAAACATTGAATTGAGGCCTTTCAAACATCAGCCACAGACTAGGGAAGCTGAGAATAAAAAAAACAAAAACAAAAAAAACCTTGAAAAAAATTTTACAGTCCTTTGCTTCCTTTTTCAGGGACATAAGCTTGGTATGTTGCCTCCACTTAAGGTTATCAGGCTTGTATCCATGGTTTAGTGAGCACAGTGAGCTTGACTACTTGTGTGATTTTTCCTTCACCTTTCAACATTTTCTTGGGTCCTAGCCAACTACATATGTCAAATAAACAAGTCAGATAGCATGTTACATGCAATACAGGATTCTAATTAACATGTCAAGAAAATTAACAGAAATGTAAAAAATACACTGAAAACCTTTTAAATATGATTGACCAGAATTCTTACTTCTCAGATAACCTATCTTTAGTATTCGATATTATATAAATGTAAAATTCCATTTTCTACTGATGTATAACATCCTTTCATTTCCAATCTTTCTGGTTTGTATGTGTACATGAGTGTTACTCTGAAATTTTGTTAAGTTCGATATTCAAAGGTTCATTAGTTTTAAGTTCATTAGTTTTTAGCCCATGTCTTGACAAATATATTTGAAATTATAAATTACATTAAATGTCTTATCAAGGTCCTACAAACACTATTGTACTGTCAGTTTGAAATGTTTTGGCTTACTATTATATTTTCCATTTAGCAGGTAAAAAAAACTGGAAAACTAAGATATTAAAAATTAGATTTAAAACTTATATAACTAGAGACTAATAATGTTTTGATAGCACAAAACTGTGGTAGTATTTAAAGAGTGTCTAACTCAATTTGAGAACAAAATTCCTGATGAAGCACTAAGATCAGTAGGTAGCTTTACTGTAAAGCTCCTTTGAAGTCTTCAAGACTAAATCATCAGCTACAGGCACACTCCTACCCCACATATAGTTCACAAATAACTAAAGTGGTATTACAAGCAACACATGATAGACTGAGGTATCTAATAGAGATGGATGATTCAAACTGCTTTGTGGTGCAAATGTATTAGCAGAAACAAATGTACCAAAACATTGTAACCAAGTTTCAGAAATAGCAGAGTGTCACTAGGTTTCAAGGATCTGGGGAATATCATTAGCAGTATTCATCTCACCTTTTCTACTAAGTTTGGTTTACATGGTTGCCAGCATTAACTGGCATCCTGTCTCCCAGTTTCATCGTATCTTAGTTTCAAACTGAAAAACATCCTATAAACTGGCTGATTTGAATCACATCCTTCTATTCTTACTGCAATCACTGTGGACAGGAAAGAGCTTGATCTAAAATTAGTAACCTCAGGTGATCAATCACGTTCCTAAAACATGGTTTATATTGAAACCAACCTCAGGTGCTGAGAATGAAAGGACATTTTCCAAAGAAGATTGCTAGTTCATAAGACATAGTGTGATAGAGAAATGGTGTATTATATGTTCTATGTATCTACATTATAAATGAGGTTACCTGGTGTATACAACTGACTAACTTTAATCTTTGGCATTACATATAAATAATTTGGAAGAAGCCACTCAAATTGGGGTGATAATGGGGATAGTGCTTTACATAAGTAGAGAGAAGATAAAGTAATTTTACAATTTAAAATTATCTTTGTAATAAGAGAGTCCTTTAGAGGCAAAAATTAGAAGAAAGGAGGTAAGAAGGCTGAGAGCAAAAAATAGAATCATTCAAACAAACAAACACACATTTCTTTTTTCCCTGAGAAACTGAAAGAACAGGAAGCTGGATGGGTAGGAAGGTGGGAGGAGGAAGGGATCTGGAGAGAGTTGGGAAATGGTAGTGAAAAGAATAAGGTCAAAATAATATTGTATGAGAAAGAGCCAATAAACAACAACAGAATCATTCTAACAACTGTAACTAGTAGGAATAATTAAGCCATGGGATTGATATTTCGTAAGACCCTTTCTATGTTCCTCTTCATCTCTCACTAAAAATTGAAGCCATTTCTAATGAGATTATAGAAAAACTAGACACTTTTAGAAGTCTTGTTTAGTCATAGCATTCATCAGGGGACTGCAATTGCACTACACATACTCATTTCCCACTTAGCTAGAATAAGTTGATTACAAAATGTTTTCCTAATCTAACTTTTTCTACAGCCAAGAAAAACAGCTGTGTAAATCATTCAACTTTCTAAAATTGAGGTGATTTTCTAAACACTTAATAGCGGGCAATACAGAAATACAGTTAAGGCTTAATTACTATAAAAATAACAACAAAAACTGTGGCATGACAATTATAATATTTAAGCAGGAAAGTTATAAAACTATATATATATAAAACAACATACATATTACAGTTTAATTATATACATTTACAGAGTAGCAAAATACCTTTTCTACTTGGCAACTACATTCTAAAGATTAAAAGTAAACAAATTTAAACATTTCTACATACAAAACTTTCAGGTTTTCATTTACTAAAAACAAAACAGTACAAGTTTTGGTACCCTAATACATACATCAAAATAAATATTTTAAATTGTAGTAAATAAAAATGGTTAACAATCTCCAATTTCTTAACATTATAATGACAAATAGTTTTCCCTGAATTTTCATTATCTTTCTGTTAAAAAATAAATTTACTTAAACTCAAGTCAATGTACTTTCACGCCTTTTTAAAAAAGACAAAATACTTACTAAAGGGCAGATTTACATCAGCTAAGAAATAAAATTTACAGTCATATAGGTATAAATGCAATCATTTTAAAAACAAATTCATTACTATAAAAATATATAAAACCCCTAGGTACACTCCACAAAAATATAAATGCACCATTTGCGTTATACTGATTATCAAAACCTCTGATTTATGTAGTGTCTATAAAATATCAAAGAATAGGCATGATTTTTTTCTTCTTTTTCTTGAAACGGTCTCATTGTGCAAGCTATAGGCTGACCTCTAACCCGCAGAACCTGGTTCTATAGCTGGGCTTGAAGGTTTTTGCTACCACACTCGACCTCAGCATTCTTTTGTTAATGTAATCTATAAATATGAAATATTTTTATCTCAACCAGTAATAGCAACATGTTAGCAAAAAAATGGAGTATACATAGAAAGATAGGCGTTGTCTTGTATTCAAGTTTCCAAATTTGATTTCCATTAAAATACTTTCTGTAACTGATAAAAACTACATAAACAAAAGTAAAAAGATGAGGTAAATATCTTATACTTTTAAGAAAGTGTTTGAAAGTACTCAGATAGTCCCAATGCCTAATTTCTGAAATGACGCTCTGTAAGGTCTTCAATAATGATGATGGTTTGTATCTGAATCACATTTCAGTCTTCTGAGTAGGCAATATTTGTTTCTGTTATTACAAAACAATCATGACTTTCACCAACAGTATTGCTCTGCTGTGGGTTTACATGAGGCACCATGCCACAGTAAGAGCAGCTACAACACCATTCAAAATTGCCATGCTATAGCCCATGTGGAAAGAATGTCCAGTCAGTTTCCTAGAGAAAAAGAAAAAAAACACAAATCAAAAAGGAACACGTAATATGGTATGAGAAAACTAGAAAGACATCACTAAAAATGCTTAAAACATCACAATGAGTCTTCCTAAGATTTTTTTTTAATACTAATATATAAATTAGAAAAAGAGTAAGTTAAAAAAAGGACACTTGCAGATCTAGTACAGACTTTTCAATCTGAAATTCTCTTTTAAAAGCCCTCCTGGGGACTGAAGAGATGGCTCAGTAGCTAAGAGTACTTCCTGCTGTTCCCGTGGATTGCCCAGCACCCATACTAGGTGGTTCATTATTGCCTGTAACAACAGCTCCAGGGGATCCCATACCCTGGCATCTATAGCCCCCTAAACAAAAGGCACAAATGCACACATGGTAGGCCCCCACATGTGCGTGCAAGTACACACAATATAAACAAATCTTAAAAACAAACCAACAAAATGGTCCTGATTTCCTGGTTAACAAATATAATTTCATTAGTACAGAGTATTGAACTCAATTGTCATCTTTTAAAAACTTTATCCTGTGTGTAGCAATAACAAATTTGTTACATTACAAACTAGTGTTGCATTAAACAGCAGTGTTTCCCTGCTCTTGTCCTTACCTTGATCTAACTTTAAATACATGTTATTCCAAGTATTTATCCTGACCATATAATTTTTTTTTTTTCAGTTACAGAAAGAAGCTATTCCTTTTGAGCCTATGTAAATGGGTTAGACTTAAAACAAATGTCAGCTTTCAACCTAGTAAGTTTATTTAACTGCAGTGGTTTCCAACACATTTCTAAATGACAGCAAAGAAAAATCTCTTATTTATGATTACTAGGAGTTTCAACTGCTGCACAAAAATTAAGGATGTGTTTGCTTTTTAGAAGAATATTGCTTATGGTTTTCTAAATATTCCATTAACTACATTGCAATGATATATTTTAGTTCTAGTAGAATGACATATTCTTAAAAATGTGGCTGGTAAGACAGCTCAGCCGGCAGAAGCACCTGCTATACAAACCTGAGTTTAATACTTGGAACCCATGGAGGGGGACTCATAAAAGTTGTACCCTACACACACACACAACCTTATTAGTACAAAGTGCTGAAATTGATCACCATTTTTAAAAAACTGCTTTCAGTGTTGAGTAGAAATGTGCTGTGGCATGAATACACACACACCCATGCACATACGTAATAAAAGAGCCCTCAAATTGGCCAGTTGGCTAAGAGTGCTTGCCACCAAGCACTCTTGATGACCAGAGTTTTAGTCACAGAATCCAAGTTGTCCACTGCCCTCTACATACACACACAAATAATAAATAAATAAATATAAAAAGAAAAAGAAATAAAGACTGTGCTCAAATAGTGGTAGAAGGCCAAGTGTGTCAGCTGGCTGTAGGGGCTGTTAGTCCTAGCAATGTGTAGTGATTATGAGTTTCCCAGTAAAAAGCCATTCTACAGGCTTGGAATGAATCACCAAGGAATGGAGATGGGCTACAAGGAGAAGCTGAAAGGTGCAGCCAGAGAGAACTAAAGGGATCCTGCATCTTCACCAAGATGTAGAGTACCAAAGGAATGGAGATGGACTGGGAGGAGGGGTATATAGGTGGACTGCAATAGGACTAATGTTAAGTCTAAGGGACTGGAAAAGAGGACAGACAGGAAGAAGAATGAAAGTCCCCTACTTGAGTCCTAGCCTAGTGTAGCTACATACTGGGGATGACTTTGAACTTCTGATTCTTTAACCTCTTTACTTACCAAATGCACCACTGCATCCAGTTTATACATCAGTGCTGGCATTCAAATACAAGGCTTCGTAATGGTAAGCATGCACTCCACGAACTAAGCCACATCCCTATCTCTCAAAATGCTTTTAAGTATCAAATAGATAAAAAATTAAAATGGAAGAGAAAAAAATATTGTGAATAAGTCAAGTTCCCTTAATGATACAAGTTTTGATTTGTCAAACTTAAGAAACATGGCAAGGTTTAAAAAATAACACAAATAAATGCCATGTTTTCCCTACACTTTATTTTTTTTACTGCATTTTTTTTAAGTTTGTCTGTTTTTTGTTTTCTTTAGAAAGAGTGCAATAAAGTTGAAAGGTAGGGGAGAATATGGGTTTGGGGAAGGGAAAAGATCAAAGTGCACTGTATAAAAATGTTTTCACTGTGGTTATCAGGTAGAAGGACTATATTAATTTAGGATCCCTTCTAATCATCAATTTCTATGACTATTTCAGGTAGAAACAAAAGGAAAATATTTCAAAGGGATTACATAGTTGTATACAGTTCTTTCTACCAATTAAGAGGTTACTTAATAATATTATCTGTATTTAAAGTGGAACAATGTTGTAGAGATTTTAAGTACATAAATATTTAATTCTCAAAGAGCCAACCAAGAAAATCCAATAATAAAAATTAATGAATAAGTTACTAGTTAAACTTTACCTGATGGTTCATTTGACCATATAGTAAGAAATAACAGACAATTTAATGAAAGCAGACTGTTTCTTAAGTTAGGGCCCTAAATGCTAATTTTATCAGGCTTAAATAAAGATATTTTCCACTACATTTCTGAAATAAAAAAAAGTTGGAAATAAATGGGAAATGCTATTGAATAAGAATAAAATGACTGAAAATAGTGACAAAGAAAGGTTCATTATAAGAGGGCAACTTCCACATTAGAAGATTAGTTGTACAAAGGAAACTATCTTAGTCTAGTTTCAAAGCAATCTTTTGCAATAATACAGACACACAATGAAGTGTTCATGTGATTCTCACCAGTGATATAGGTCAAATTCTAGAGTAAGACGTGGGTTTGAGTACCTCTTACAAGAGATATATAAAGATAGAAGTTCCCTTACAGTAAGCGACCTTTTAGTGAAACTGAAAGAAGTCTACTAAGAGTTCAGTATGGTTAAGATTTTAAATAGCCACAAAAGAAGTAGATAAAGGAGAAGAGATATATAGATGAATGGGTCACACTCAAAGCCTAGCTCAGAATATACAGTTGTACATTCTAAATATTTGGAACTTCCTTTGAATAATAAAACTATTCACCCCCTTTATATAGAATGCTATAAACTTCGGCCTATTTTATATGAATATGAGATCTACTCCTCCTTGACCTTTCTTTTGCCCTATCTAAAGCTTTGTAATTTTACAGGGCAGGCACTTCATGTACTTTTGTTGTTGCTGTTCATAAAGACCTGATATAAGGATTACAACTTTTCTTAGTATTTATAATAGCTGTGGCAAATTTTGATGCATTTACTTTGGCTTTCTGATTTTTAATTTTAAATTATTTTCCTGGCCACTAATTTATATATCCCCTATTCTGTAACTTAGCTGGAAAAAATATTTCCCAGATTGGCAAGTAAAGAAATATTTATAGGATCACAATTTACAAGGAGAAAAATGTGTAAAAACCAATGTGTAACAAAATTGTAAGCCTACAGTTTTCCTGCTTCTAGTTTACAGACCTTAGTTGACCTCCTCGTGCTCCACTCAGTCATTAGTCATTAAAGCACAGATAATTCAGAAACATTAATAGTTGTATCAATGAGGTATGAATTATTACTTAATATGTATTTTAAAGAAATCTGCCTTATCCTTAAGACTATATACTTTGTTAGACACAAAGGGGTATAACAAATCAGTAACAATCTATTTTTGGGATGGGGTCCAAAACCTAGGTATTTTTAAAAATAATACCTAACTTCTGAGAAATCCTCAAACACTGGTACTAGCAAATTAAGGCCCATCTGTCCTCTTACCCTTTTCTGTAAATAAAGCTTATTAGAACAGTCTTGCTTATTTTTTACAAACTGTCTATAGCAGCTTGGGTGCTACAATGACAGATGAGGAAATGCGACTAAGGTCATGTGGACTACAGAGCTAAACATACTTATCATTTGGTTCTTTACAGAAAAATGTGTGCCAATTCTAAATTTTAAGTATCTAAAGCCTCTCTATTCAATCAGTTATATCTGCAATCATAAGTATTACCTACACCTTTTCTTTCAAAACAGGGTCTCCAGGAACGGGGGGGAAGTAGGAGAAAGGGTGATACCAGGAAGAGACGAGGGAGGGGACTACAATGGAGATGTAAAGTGAGTAAATTATAAAAAATAAAATGTAATAATAATAATAATAATAATAATACCACCACCCAAGGTCTTACTATGTAGCTCTGGCTGTCCTGTAACTCATTATGTAGACGAGGCTATCCTCACATTTAGAGATACACCTGCCTCTCCCACCTGAGCACTGGGATTAAAGGTACACCCCCACTACAAAGGCTTGGGCATTTCCTACAAATTCAGAATCAAAAATAAGATCTTATCGCAAAGACTTTGAATCAGAATCTGTAAGTTTAGCTATACATTTAGGTGAAATTACTGAAGAGTAAATAATGAGGTTCACTATTTGGCTATAAATTATAAAAAATATGCTTATTATTTTCTGTGTGCAAACTTTAAAATTATTGTACTTTTAAACAACAAAATTGAACAAATACTTACAAAATGTGTTTTTTCCTACTGAATAATCCTAAAGACAGGGTGTTATACACTTATTTTGTTTTGTTTTTTTGAGGCAGGGTTTTTCTCTGTGTAGCATTGGTGTCCTGGACTTGCATTATTGACCAAGCTGGCTTCAAACTCACAGACATCCACTTGCTTCTGCCTTCCTGGGTGCGAGGAATCACAGGCGCTTGCCACCAGACCTGGCTTTAATTTTTTTTTTTTTTTAATAAAATGAGTAACTCAAATAGAAAAAATTTTTCCCAATGTTATTCACATGCGCACCTCCCTTCCCCCACACACACTGTGCTCTGGCAGCAAACGCATTGGTGTATTTCATATGCATAAATGAATATGTATATTTGTATTTCGGATAAAATTAAACTATCTTTAAAGTACTACAAAGCTTAAACTGTTTACCATAATTTTACATACAGTTATGTTTGAATAGGATACAATTTTTGAACATATAT